TTGCGAAGCAAGCCCATAGGGAAATTTGTCTAGCGAAGCAACACAAAACCGAAAAACCCTTTCGTCTAGCGAGTTTTTCGTCTTGCAAGGCATTCGTCTTGCGGGGCACCACTGCACTGTATGAACTTTTTTGGAAGCCAAACTTCCAACATGGCATCTGCCACTTCCGCTTGAGTGCAGGAAGTTCCTGCAGCCAATCAGAAGTCACACTTTGGTTTTCGAACAGTTTTGGGAGTTGAATGGACTCCCAGAATGGATTAAGTTTGATAACCAGGGTACCACTGTACAGGATTTTCCTGTACTGTATTTCAGGTCTCCTCAATCTCTCTCTCTCTCTCTCTCTCTCTCTCTCTCTCTCTCTCTCTCTCCCTCTCCCAAGTTAGAGGTCGTCTCCAAATGCAAGGCTGTGTGAAAGCACACGCATTTAAGCTCTGGATAGCCAAGCACAGACAGATTTACAAATTTGTGTGTGACAAATTCCAGAGGGGCTATCCTGTCAGGATGCTATATTGGATTGTTTTAAAGTCACTTCAGCACTAGACAAAAAAGAAAAAGTCCCCCACCCTGTCCTGTAGTTTGCCAGAACAAAGGTGGCAACCCTAGTACAGTAGTGGGTGGCAAAATTTAAGACAGCTTTACCAGGTCAGAAAAACAGCAGCAGCTGGGAATTCACAAAAGTGGAGTCCACTGGCCTACAAATAACACAGGCTTATGCAGAGGCATTTCCTCGCCTTAGCTTTACATGTGTGTAGAATGAAGTCATGTTCTCCTAGGAAAAGCAGGCCTGTATTATCAGAGCTGGATGCCTGATTCAGCGGGAACAAAGTGCCTACTTTCTATCAAACTGTCTCAAGGTTGTTTTTCCTGCACAAACCGTTCTTGACACATTCTTAATGCAGCCTGAGTAAGCAGATTCTCCTAACGGTACCGTTTCACACACTGTTTTTGCATTTCTTCACATGTATAAATCAATGTGTTTATCCACCACAGGCATCACAAGCCTTCAGTTGTCCCAGTGAGTGTAGATAAGATTATTAGCATCTTTCCCAGTTCTACTTGATGAGCTCTGTGTATCTCGCTACCTTGCATATTCCACCCGTAGAAGCCTTGTCCTAAACAACTCACTGTGTGTGTGTGTGTGTGTGTGTGTGTGTGTGTGTGTGTGTGTTTGTGTGTGTGCGCACGCGCACGCGCGCGCTATATCACACCACTGACACAAGCTAAGGGCTCCTCCAGCAACCGATTTCTTGGCCACATTCATTCTGATTTGCTTGCATAAAGCTCAGTTGGCAGAGCATGAACCTCTTTATCTCAGGGTTGTGGGTTCGAGCCCCACGTTGGGCAAAAGGATTCCTGCATTGCAGGGGTTGGACTAGATGACCCTCGTGGTCCCTTCCAACTCTACAATTCTGTGATTCTATGTGGAGGTTAGATTGTATCCAATCTTGGTAAGCACTCGTTCTTATTTGTGTGCAGTTGTTATTTTATTATATTTATATATTTTAAAATTGATATACCACTTGATTGTAAAACAAAGTAACGACCTCAAAGCCGTTTTCAAAAAGAAGTTAAACGACGACAGTAAATATGATTTACCCGCAGTGTATTTATTTATACATCTTCCCATTAATCATTCATCTGCTCCACACTTTCCAATGTGTTTCCAAACCGCAGAGAGTCCTGGTTGTTCAGGTTTTTTAACGTGGATTTGTTGCACTACTGCAACAGACACTTGAAAGGACTGTAATTGTGCAAGCCAAAAGTTCCCTGCACGTTCTTGAATCCGTCCCACAAAATAGTGGTAGTCTGAAGGCAACCCCCTCCCCTCCAATTTGATTGGAGTAAGGAGCACTTTCATATCCTGTAGTCAAGGAAGCATGTAGCAGCTGCGGTTCTTCACAGAGAACATTGTACATATTATCACTCAAACTGTGGCTCACACCTCCGAAGCCTAGCTGACAATCACACATCCACCTTTAGAGGTTATTTTCAATCTATGCTGATGTTTTACGTGCACATCCTTCCCTTCCTCATTAGCTGAGTGTTGCAGCTCAGTTGCAAATCTGGCTACAGTCTAGAATCATCGGGTGACCTGCAGATTTTGTCAGACTCCAACCTCCATCATCCACAACGATGGTTGGAGGCAATGGGAGACATAGGTTCACTGCATCTGGAAAACACCACATGGGCCACCCCGATCTAAATTGACTTTAGAACCAGCAGGCAGGCAAGCTTATTCAAAGCTTCTGCCTCATCCCCTGCTATATCAATCATCCAAAAAAGATGTTATTTTATTTTATTTGGTGGCCCCAATATAACAGTGAAGCAAAGAGTTGCAGGTGCTTGCCACACCTTGGAAATTTGGAATAACATTGCAGCCTAGTGGTCAGAAAGAGCAAGTGAAGGTGGATTTCACATAAATGACTTATTAATTCTCCCACTTCACATAATCAATGCTGGGCACTTTTAACATATCACAGAATCGTAGAGTTGTTGAGTTGCCTCCGTCCTTCGCATTGGAACCCATTGGCTCAGGACCTACTATCTATCAAACTGTCTCAACCTGATTAGTGTGAGATATGAGTGCAATGGGATGACCTCATCAGTGGGAGAGATCATCATGTCTCACTGGTCAGCTACTGCCACCCTTAAGCCAGGCTGCCCCCAGGCGATGAAGGGCTGACCCTCTACTGTCCACCTGCTTCAGAGGGTGCTTGGAGCTCAGAGTCTCACTCGACAAGTGGACTGAACTTCTGCACCAGGCAAAGAAAGCAAAGAAACAACCCCTCTTGTGCTTAGCAAGCTTGAACATCAGGACTATGTACCCTGGCTTGTCTACTGACCAGTTGCAGGTCAACGACTGACAGAAGACAGGCATCATTGACAGTGAACAGAAAACACTCAACGTTGACCTTGTCACTCTGCAGGAGACCAGACTTGCCGCAAATGGCTGCCTCCAAAAGAATGAATAGATCAGTTCTTATATGTGTAATGTCCAAATAGAAGCTTTTGTGTTCCACGTATGTCTTAGTGAATACAAGTGTCAAATGTAACTACTTTAAGGAGCAGTACTTGCAAAAGATGAACTTTTCTTTGTAATGTTCCACATCTGCCTTTGCAAAGTATGGTTGTTGTATGCAGCTGCTGTGTGCAGGTATCAGAGGAAGGATACGAAAGATCTTAACATAATCAAAATCCTACCATTTTCCAATTTCTAGGGTTTTGGGAGTCCCCATCCCCAAATCTATACAAACCAAGGAACTTGACCAGGCTGTCAGGAGAGTCCTGGACTGTGAACACCTATTCCTGCTGGGAGATTTTAGTGCCACAGCAATAAAACCATTAAAATAAGGTTACCAGACGTCCCCGTTTCCTGGGGGCAGTCCCCGGATTTACAAATCAGTCCCCATACAAAATCCATTGAAATTGAAAAGTGTCCCCAGATTCATTGAAAAAAATCTGGTAACCTTACATTAAAAACCTGTTAAAAAGAGTTCCTTGGGAAGGCGATTGGTTTTTAAACCACTCTGGAAACTGTAGCTCTGGGAAGGCAATAGGCTCTCTTCACAACTCTCAGCACTCTTAACAAACTACCATATTTTTTGCCCTATAGGACGCACTTTCCCCCCTCCAAAAATTAAAGGGAAATCTGTGTGCATCCTATGGGGTGAATGCAGGCTTTCGCTGAAGCTTGGAGAGCGAGAGGGGTCGGTGCGCACCGACCCCTCTCGCTCTCCAGGCTTCAGGAAGCTATAGCAAGCCTGGGAAGCCCGCGGGAGTTCCCGCAGGGCTCCCTAGGCTGCGGATAGCAGCCTGCTGCAGGGAGCGCGGGGCGCACTGAAGCAGAGCGCCCCGCGCTTTGGGCAGACATCGGGCAGCCCCACAAGCTCGGGGGACAGCGGGGAGGCGCAGCGCCGCCACCCCGCTGTTCCCCAACCTGGTTTGGAGGCTGGTGCTAGGGAGGAGTGCGCTTCTCCCCAGCGCCAGCCCCACAAGCTCGGGGGACAGCTGGGAGGCGGAGCACCGCCATCCCACTGTTCCCCGACCTGGTTTGGATTCCCCGACCTGGTTTTGGGGGAAAATAAAGGGGGGGATTTCCTTTATTTCCCCCCAAAAAACTAGGTACGTCCTATGGGCCCGGTGCGTCCTATGGGATGAAAAATACGGTACAGCTCCCAGAATTATTTGGGGGAAGAAACCATTACAGTGGTACCTCTGGTTACGTACAGTGGTGCCCCACAAGACAAATGCCTCGCAAGACGAAAAACTCGCTAGACGAAAGGGTTTTGCGGTTTTTGAGCTGCTTCGCAAGACGAATTTCCCTATGGGCTCGCTTCGCAAGACGAAAACGTCTTGCGTTTTTTGCAAGTTTGTTTCCTTTTTCTTAACACCGTTAATACAGTTGCGACTTGACTTCGAGGAGCAACTCATAGAATGCGGTGTGGTAGCCTTTTTTGAGGTTTTTGGTGATTTTTGAAGCTTTTCCAAAACTTTTCCGACACCGTGCTTCGCAAGACGAAAAATTCGCTAGACGAAAAAACTCGCGGAACGAATTAATTTCGTCTTGCGAGGCACCACTGTACTTAATTCGTTCCGGAGGTCCGTTCTTAACCTGAAATGTCTTAACCCGAAGCACCACTTTAGCTAATGGGGCCTCCTGCTGCCGCCGCACGATTTCTGTTCTCATCCTGAAGCAAAGTTCTTAACCTGAGGTACTATTTCTGGGTTAGCGGAGTCTGTAACCTGAAGCGTATGTAACCCGAGGCACCACCATACTGTTTATGGTGGTATCACAGTGCTTTAAATGTATGGTGTGAATGTGGTTTATGATGACTCAGTCTGATACAACCCAGTGTTTAAAACAGCGCCTGGGAATCTGGTCAGGACTTTCCCTTGCATTCTGGACAAAAATCCCTCTCCAAGCTGCTGCTTCTCCAGGGAAGGGAGCTGCTGGCAGCCCCCCCCCCCCACTTCGGGGTCCCCTGCCTAATTCCTCTCCTCCCTTCCCTGCCAGGCTGCAGTTAAAATGACAAAACATAAATTTGTGCCTTTAAATGCGTAATCCAGTTTGGCACGGAGGCACCCAAATGTTGCAAGACCTTTAGGCAGGCAGCGGAGAAATTCCCACCCCGTGGAAAGGCAGAGCTTCTTGCAAAGCTGCCTGCCTGAGATAAGCCGTTCCTCAAACAGGCAATAGAGGGGGTGTTATCCTATCATCTTATCTAGGTCAGGAAAAGCCTCGCTTTCCGTGGGTCACTGAGCCTTTTGAAAGCCAGGTGGTGGTAACATTTCACGGAGAAAGCTAATTTAGCGCTCTCTCTCGCTCTCTCTCTCTCTCTCCCTGTTTAGGAAGCTGATTGGATAATCTCACTTTCTTTGGAAAGGTTTTTTTAAACTCAGCTGGGTGACTCATATCATGTGATCCCTGCAAGTTTTAAACTTGCAAAGTGGTGCAACAACTGTAAGGGAAATTAAGGAGAGAACATTGACAGCTGACATGCCTTCCATGGATCTTTCGCCTAAACCAGAAGATTATATCTTGCAGGGTCCTGTTTTCAATCCAGTGAGTGGTCATTTTTATTTCTGCCTGCCCTGATGACTTGTAGATACCGTTGGTGGGAAATACCCTAATTTCATAATGAAGTATAATTCTAAGGAAGGGGGGGGAGGGAGGGAGGGGGAGAAGGAAGGAGAAATAGTCTGCCATGCTACCTTTCTAGGTTTTAGTGGACAGCCTGGAAATGTGATTTTTTAAATGAAAAAAAGTTAACCAAACACCTGTTTGCTTCTGAGTAAGCTGTGGGCGGCCCATGCAGCCAGCTGAGATTAGGGCTGCCAAATGTCTGGTTTAAAAAAAGAACCAGGATCTGCAGAAATTTACAAGCAGGACCAACTGCACTTGGCCACAGGTCAGAAAACTTGTTGTTCATTATGTTACGTAAAGCTGATTTTAAATAAAGAACAGCTGAAGGGCCCAGCTCAAAAGGAGTGGCTTTTTAAATGGTAGGTTTGCCATTCCATTTTGTTTTTCGACTAGCCTTCCTCATGTGCTTCCAGCTGATGCTGAAACTCTCCCCCCCCCCCCCCCGCCGCCGCCAATCCATGCTGGAGCAATAAATTGCATGACTGATTTGACAGCCCAGAGAGCATCACCCCAGGCTCTGTGTTCTCTTGGCACCTAGAGAGGTCCAACTGCAGACATCCCCCACCAAGCCTGGTCTTCGTTTGCAGCCTCCCAGCTCTGCAAAGTGATATTGCTTGTGCCCTGCAGACGTTTTGGACTACAAATCCCATCAGCCCCTGCATCATATGGCTCTGCCAGCTGGGTCTGATGGGTGTTGTAGTCTAAAGCATCTGGTAAAAAGCTAAAGGACCCCTGACAGTTAAGTCCAGTCGCGAATGACTCTGGGGCTGCAGCGCTCATCTCCCTTTACTGGCCGAGGGAGCCGACATTTGTCCGCAGACAGTTTTCCGGGTCATGTGGCTAGCATGACTAAGCCGCTTCTGGCGAAACCAGAACAGCACACGGAAACGCCGTTTACCTTCCCGCCAGAGCGGTATCTATTTATCTACTTGCACTTTGACGTGCTTTCGAACTGCTAGGTTGGTAGAAGGCAACAAAGCCGTCAAAGGCATCCCTTGGTCTCCTAATGATTCCCCCTTTGCATTTGACTTGGGGCGGGGGAGGATTTCAGCATCAAGAAACTCACCCATCTATTTCCTGACCTGTAGAGGAGGGCAGCATTGGAACTCAGGATCTTGGTAGCCTTCAGGAGTGACTGGAGGACAAGCATTAGCTGGGATATGGTGTCTCACTGCTGCCTGACCAGCAGGCTCTGGATTCCGAAATCTGCAACCCCATCGCGGTTGGTTCGCTCTTGGGGCATTTCTGGAGCATGTGCAGAGTGCCGGCTGAACCAAGCACCTCTGTAGCACTAGGCAGGAAGGGCATCTCATTTGCCCAGCCAAGCCTTTAATGCTTGACTCTGTGCTCTCCTGTGTCCATTTTTCAGATCGTTCCTTACATCACCTCCATCTTTGGCAGCTTGGCGCCTGGGAAAATGGTTTCCATCCAGGGAGCAACCCCAGTGGAAGCGGAAAGGTAAAAAAATAATAATCACATTGTTTAAAGAGAGGAGGACTGAGAGCTTTTGTCTTTCCAGTGTGTTAATCTTTCCGGAGGAAGGAGAAAGGAAAAGGAGAGAGGAAGGAGGCTTTCCTGCTGAATCACGCCAAGGATAATGCCAAGGTTGCAGCTTCAGTCCCCATATCGGACAACTGCATATTCCTGCACTGCACAGGGTTGGACTAGATGATCCTTAGGGTCCCTTTCAGCTATACAATTTGATGATTCTATTATTCTGCTTCTGACAGAAGTCATTTCCAAGAAACCCACGTGGGGCACAAAAATGAGTGCAGGCCCCAGTCATTTGTCCCCACCACAACTGGTATTTGGAAGCAGATTGCCTTTGAACATGGAGGTTCTCTGTCCTGAGAGCCATGGATAAACTTCTATCGTCCTCGTTTTAAGTTAACATCTGTTCATTTTTAGTGCTCTGTTTAATTTGTGTTTTAATCTCATGTGTGCTTATTTTGCACAGTATTTTCTGTTGTAAGTTGACTTCTTTTGGCATAAAGTGATGGGAAAAAATGAATGAATAGCAGTGAGCCCTCTTGCAGCAGCGAGTTCTGTAAATTAGCTCTGTGAAGAAGTCTGTTCATTTTTCTGTCCAGTACCTGCGGCTACTCACAGTTTTGGCCATAAAGGTCTTACTCAACACAGGACATTCTGGCTCCCTTAACCACCTTCTGTCCAAATCTCAGACTCCTCCAAATAAATCAGTTGGTAAACTCAAAACAGTATTTTGCCAGCTCCATATGAAATTTAAGAATAGTTGCAGGGTGCTAAACAACAGGTGCTAAAAACATATTTAACACAATTCCAGTACAGATGCAAACTGACTAAGAAAGATGTTGGAAGAGGAGAGTCTTCAGTAGGTTCTGCAAAGACAATTGATGATGTAATAAAAGTCAATTTATTTGTAATAACCTTGACTCTGCTTTATGTTCTGTGATCTATATTTCACTGAATGAAACAGGTTTTTTGTTTGATATCCTCCATTTAAAAAAAAATATGAAAGGAATTCACTTCTTAAAATTATTCTTCCTGCTTTTTCCCGCTCTTGATTCAGGTTTCAGGTTGACTTCCAGGCCGGCTCCAGCTTGGCACCACGGGCTGATATCGGCCTCCACTTCAACCCCCGGTTCCGTTCGCGTCCCTACACAATCTGCAACTCTCTAAGCAACGGCCTCTGGATGGAAGAGGTGAAATTCCCCCACCTGCCCTTGAAAAGTGGCGACTCTTTCCTACTGCTGTTTCTCTTTGAACAAGATCATGTGAAGGTGAGGAGGTTCACAGAAGAGACACCTGGCTGCTGGTCCAGGCGAAAGGCCCATCTAGTTCACAATCTTGTTTTCACAAACTAGAGTTTGTGTTTCTCCTCCTCAGGTGAGCGTAAATGGACAGCACTATCTCCAGTACATGTTCAGCTTGCCACTGGAGCGAATGAACACGCTGAGAATATCTGGCGATGTCATCCTGAGAGCGATAGCCTTTTTCCCTAAAAATGTACGGTATTGTGTTGAGCACTTTAAAATATACATATTTGGGGGGGTATGAGGGAAACATCATCAGCTGAGGTTAATAATGAAAGTATTTCCTCAATCCAGACTCATATAAATTAATATAGGCAGTCCATATATCCAAATAGGTATCCAAATAGGACTGCCTAGAAAGGGCAGTGAGATGATAGAATTTTAGAGTTGGAAGGGACCCAACGGTCATCTAGTCCAACCCGCTGCAAGGCAGGACCGCTGAGGCATAGGGCAGTGTTTCCCAACCGGTGTTCCGCGGCACACTAGTGTGCCGCGAGACGTTGCCTGGTGTGCCGCGGGAAAAATTAAAAAATTCGAAATATATCCGGAGAGGCGGCCTTCAGGCGAGTTTTAATTTTCATTTTCCTTCTCCCACTTAATGCCCCACGCTCGCCCGAGCAGCTTGCAGTCCTCGGTAACCATGGCGACCCGAGGGAGGGGAGGGAACAGGGAAGTCGAGGGTGGCGGCGAGCCGCGATGACGTCAGTGGGCCGCGCCGCCTCGCCCTGGCATGGTGTGAGAGCCCCGGCTAGTGGTGCGAGCTTCGGAATAAGTGGGATCCACGTGCGCGAGACCGAGATCGCGGGTAAGGAGCTCAGCCCTGGGCAGGAGGAAGCAGGGCCGCGCGTGCGGGCCACATCCCCACAGAGAGCGAGCCTCCCCGGCCCACCACTCCGGGCAGGTCCACTCGCATGAGGGGGCGGCGATGGCGACGGCCGGCAGCTTGCCTGCAATGCCATCCCTCGAGCAGGCGAGGAGCCCGGAGGCTACCAGATGCGAGTCCTCTTTCCCACCCTGCTCGGGAGTCCAGAGCACTTGGTCGCATTCAGGATCTAGAGTGGGGAAGCGGGGCTTGTGTCTGGGCTGGACACATTGGGCTGCCTGTGCCACTCGACCTGCGGGGAGAAATCAGGGTGGGAGTCACGACCGTGAGGCAGGGCTGCCAAGTGTGGCAGAAGAGGACACGGCCGTCGCACCTGTCCTTAGGTAGGAGCTTCTTCCGTGTCGACCTGCTGCCCTAAAGTCTTGGCTTTTTTCTTGGCTTTTTGGCGGTTGGCACAGAAGGAAGGCAAGGGGGAGGGGGAAAATTGAAACTTACACTTTCGTGCGTCCCTCCCGGCGTGACGCTGCGCGCTGATGTCACGGGGCTGTAATGGTGGTGTGCCTCGAGATTTTTTTCATGAAACAAGTGTGCCTTTGCCCAAAAAAGGTTGGGAAACACTGGCATAGGGTGTTTATATTTCCACATATTTCATATTCTGTTAAGTCTGTGCAGTTCAGCCAATATGTATGCAACTTTTAATGCCTAAGAAGTTCATAAAATTAGGATCCAGAGTGGGGTTTTCCCCTCCCTCCCTGATATCAGAACTCCATTTTTTGTGAACTAAGGTGATTAGCAGTAGGTTCAAGAAGTATTTCTTGATGCAAATGATATAGAATTGTTTTTTTAAAAAAAATAATTAGAACTTTCCTGAGGAGAAAATTTAGAAGGAAAGTGAATGTGACAAAGGAAACAAACCACAGTGGTACCTCAGGTTAAGAACTTAATTCGTTCTGGAGGTCTGTTCTTAACCTGAAACTGCTCTTAACCTGAAGCACCACTTTAGCTAACGGCGCCTCCCACTGCCGCTGCGCCGCCGCTGCACGATTTCTGTTCTCATCCTGAAGCAAAGTTCTTAACCCAAGGTAATATTTCTGGGTTAGCGGAGTCTGTAACCTTAAGCGTATGTAACCCGAGGTACCACTGTACATCATGGGAGAGGCCTACTTCCCAAAGTGTTCATTCCACCTTTGACCTGTAGGTGGAGCTGTCACCCAACCTGATAGCCCTGTGGTGCCAATTGTGGCTCACTCACTGCCACAAGTTGTGGGGATGTGGCTTCTAGCTGGGACAGCTGTAAAAAGAATGGGAAAACTTGAGGACGAGGTGGCCTGCCACGTGGCTAGTAAATGGAACCACAGGCAGTGTATTTCTGATTTGTGCTGGCTGGGGAGAGTTAAACACTGGGAAAGGGGCTTTGGGTTCCTGCACGCGTTTGGTTGGCCACTGTCAAAATAGGGTGTTGGAGATCAACAACAGCCTCCGGCAACTGGACACCCTCCAGATGTTTGGGACTAGAACATGGCTAGGACTTAGGGGAGTTGTAGTTCCAAATATGTGGAGAATCTTAGTTGGAGGAGGCTGCTGTATCTTTGGGGCAATAAATAAACCAGACCCACATCCCACTGAGGCTTCCCAGCCCCATTACTGCAATACAAATAAAAATCCAGGTTTATGCAAAGCTTCAAACACTTGCATTTTGAATTATGCAAGAGGAGTGGTTTGCAGAAGATGCTAAGGGAAGCCATGGGGCTGGGAGAGTGCCCTGGGTATTCCCCACATTGGAAGCTCCTGGTGTCAGATTTACAACCCGTTGTTGATCCATGCTGTGTCTTGTTCTGTCCTCTCTCTCTTCTTGCGTGCAGCCTTTTGATATCTACAGAACAGAATACCCTGTTGCCCCAGTAAGTATATATTTATTTATTGAATTTACATTCCTCTTTGCTCCCCACAGAGCCCATGGTGACAAGCAGAGGTAGTATTTTAAACAGTAATCTCCCTCTTGCATTACTGCAATGTGCTCTATGTGGGGCTACCTTTGAAGGTGACTCAGAAGCTACAACTAATCCAGAATGTGGCAGCTAGACTGGTGACTGGGAGTGGCCACCAAGACCATATAATACCAGTCCTGAAAGATCTACATTGGCTCCCAGTACGTTTCTGAACACAATTCAAAGTGTTAGTGCTGACCTTTAAAGCCCTAAACAGCCTCAGCCCAGTATACCTGAAGGAGCGTCTCCACCCCATCGTTCAGCCCGGACACTGAGGTCCAGCTCCAAGGGCCTTCTGGCGGTTCCCTCCCTGCGAGAAGTGAGGTTACAGGAAACCAGGCAGAAGGCCTTCTTGGTAGTGGCTCCCGCCCTGTGGAATGCCCTCTCATCAGATGTCAAGGAAATAAACAACTATCTCACTTTTAGAAACAGGTAGGTAGCCATGTTGGTCTGACGTAGTTGAAACAAAATTAAAAAATTTCTTCCAGTAGCACCTTAGAGACCAAGTTAGTTATTGGTATGAGCTTTCGTGTGCATGGCAGCATGCCGTCTAATCAAGCAGTGCGTAAGTTTGTGTGTGAAAGCTCATACCAATAACTAACATTTGGTCTCTAAGGTGCTACTGTGAGGAATTTTTTAATTTTGTTTTGACTTTTAGAAGACATCTGAAGGCAGCCCTGTATAGGGAAGCTTTTAATGTTTGATGTTTTATTGTGTTTTTATATTTTGCTGGAAGAGAGTAGCTGGGGCAACCCAGTCAGATGGGCAGCATGCAGTCTAATCAAACAGTGCATAAGTCTATGTGTGAAATAAATAGTAAATAAACATTGGGGAAGCATCACAGAACAGCTCATAAAGGGGGAATGTGTAGGCGGTCCTGCGCAAACCCACTAATAATGCACTATTATGACATCTGTGACATGTTGCAGAAGATATCCCCACCCCACTAAAAATAACATCTTCAATAGTCCCAGTCTCCCTCTCCCGCCTCCTGCCCAATTCCAGTCCCATTTTCAAGCCAGTGCATAGGAGTCTTATCCTGATTTCTCCCCCCCCCCGCCCCGCTTTCTTTATTTCTTTCCACAGCATCTGTTCAAGAGCAGAGCCGTTTTGGTGAGTCTAAATACACCCGTTGCCTTTATTTTCTCCAGTGGGGTAGCTTCTCCAGCAGCTAACTTGCTCCTTGCTCTTTCTCTCCCCTTTCAGGATGTCCCCCTTTCCCAACTCCTCCCTGAGAGCCTCAGGCCGAGAGACACAGTGACAGTGAGAGGCTTGGTGCGTCAGGACCCCAAAGAGTAAGTAAAACACACACACACACACACACACACACACACACACACACACTATCCACCCCCCTTTGCACTTGCTGCCCACTCTTTTGTGGTAGATCTTACAGTCGGGGCTTGGCAAACAGGGAGAAAAATAAATGCAAAACTCTATTCTGTATGATGTAGAAATATAAGGAGCTGCTTTATAAGTCAGACCACTGCTCCAGCTAGCTCTGTATTACTGTGTGTGATGCAATTTACTACCCACTCTCCACCCTAAGGTAGAATTGTTTCCCTTCTTTCCTTTTTCCTTATTTCCTTGTTCCCCCACTTCTCTTTTCTTCTCTTTCCTTCCCCCCACCTCTCCTTCTCTTTCTTTTCTTTTCTGTGGTGTCCTTTATCTCATATACCCGTCTTGGTTATTACTGCTATTACTATTGGTTTTGTTTTAATGCACCTCTCTCCATTGGTTTGCGCTCTCTCTCTCTCGCTCTCTCTCTCTGTGTGTGTGTGTGTGTTGCATTTTGCATTTACAGTTGTACCTTGGTTTTCAAATGCCTTGGAAGTCAAATGTTTTGGTTCCTGAATGATCGAAAACTGGAAGTGATTGTTCCGGTTTTCAAAGGTTCTTTGGAACCCGAACGTCCTACATGACTTTTGCAGCTTCCGATTGGCTGCAGGAGCTTCCTACAGCCAATCAGAAGCTGCGCCTTGGTTTCCGAACATTTTGGAAGTTGAACGGACTTCCTGAATGGATTCCATTTGACTTCCGAGGTACCACTGTATTGCTCGTGTGGTTTCTCATGGACGGCATAAGGGTGTTTGAGTGTGTGGTCACATCTGAGGAAAAGTGCTGTCTTCCTCCCATTTGCTTTCAACCTTTTGTTGTTGGGGCAACCCCTCCTCCCCCCTCGCAAAAAAGCAATGACGAGACAGCACTAAGATGTCTGAACTACATGACAATGACAAAGAAGGCTATCTGAGCTTTATTTAATTAAGAAAACAGATAAAAAAATGGAACAAATGCTTGAGTCCTAGAACTTTGGTTCCACCTTGGAGACCATCCCAAGGAATCCAGAACAATTCAAGAATCCTGAGATAAATTTGGATGCGGAGGACGACAGCTTTGGAAGGCCCCCTTCCCTTGCAGCCTGTTTCCCAAATTACCTTTATTAACAGATTCAGCCTTGGTGACTCTTCCAGGTTCTGCATCAGCTTGAAGAAAGACCCTTCCCACGTCTCCTTGAGCTTCCGGGTTTGCTTCACGGACCAGACGGTGTCATGGCGCTCATTTTCGGACAGAGGCCAGGAGTCCAGGGGGACAGTGGCTGAGGGCTTCCCCTTCCACCCCCAGCGATACTTTGAGGTAAGAAAAGACGTTGACCGTCTTAAGTTCCAGTTTCCGAGGAAACCTCCGACAGGCCTGGTTCACACGATGTACTGAGAGATATGCTCAGGGGGGGCAGTGGTGGTGTCATGGTTAGAGTAGTGGTTAGACTAGGAAATGGGGGACCAGAGTACTATTCCCCACTCGGCCACAAAAGCTCACTGGGTGTGACCTTGAGGGTCAGTCACTCCCTCTCAGCCTGGCCTACCTCACAGGGTTGTGGTGTGTTGAGCATAACATGGGAGTGGGGAGGAGAACCATGTAGGCAAACCTTGAGCTCCTTGGAGGGAAGGTGCGATATCAGTGTAATGAAGTAAATAATAAAATTAGCCAGGGATTACCAATGTGGCCCTGGTGGGTGTTTTGGTACCCTTTCTCTGGTGCTCACAGAGCCCCCACCCTCACGGCCTTCTTTGCCATGAGGGGGTCGAGGATAATTTTCTTTTTTATCCTTGAAATATACATATATTCTAGTACACCTTAGAATAGCAAGTTCATTCACCACCAGCCCTCCCTTTTGCCCCTCCTCACTCCCTCTGCATGGGTTGCCAAGTCAGGTGCACGCAGGGAAGGAGCCGAGAAGTTTATGAGCTACATTGCTAAAGAGTTTCATTTCTAGTTACGCAGACAGAAAAGAAACATGCATGCTCTCTCTGTGAAAGCAGAGAGCAACTGAAACAAAGGAACAGGAAACCAGTAACATCACATCCGTCTCCTGTCTTCCGTGAGACTTCCAATAGTCTGGAATGTCTCTGGAATGCAAAACAGAGTCTTGTGACTCCAAGAGCACTGCACAGTGGCGTAAACAGAAACCAACATCCCAGACCCTGAGATTTTAGGGCCCAAACCTGAGATCTAGGGACAGCCCCTGGTGAAGTCATGGGGGGGGGAGGGCTCTGCTGATTCGTCCTCTGTGCTCCCTCCCACCCCTGAGACCTGGAGATGGAAGTTAATTGGGAGAGGGGAGGAGGGCAGACCTTCCCCCTCCCCAAGTGTCTATGCTATAGTTTTCTCTGCAAGCATAAACGCTTATTAACATGATTGTCCCTTAGGCCTGTCCGAATAGGAATCACAGAATTGTATAGAGTTGGAAAGGGACCCCTTGGGTCATCTAGTCCAACCCCCTGCAATGCAGGAATCCTGCCAACAATCCTTCCCTGGGTGGGCTCAAACCACAAACCTTCTGCTTAACTGCCGGGTGCACCGACCCATTACACCACAGGAGAGAAAGGTCTTAGCCTGTCCATGGGAGGATAACAAAGAAAGAGCCATTCTAGCCTCTCTTGAGAGGGAGTCCCGGAATCTGGGAGCAGCCACAGAAAAGGCTCATTCTTAGGTCCCCACTAACCATGACTCTGATATTGGTGGGACTGAGAGGATGTGCTCAATCAAGGATGTTAGCACTTGTTGGGGAGGTACAGCCTTTCAGGCTGCCTGGACTCCAACCAAAAACATATGTATACTGTAAGAAACTTGCGCGCATGAGAGCACCCACCCTATAATAATGCTTGGGAGAAAAGTTGGACTTTGTGGCACCAGGCCCCTGGAATCCCCTTCCTTAGATGTGACACAACACTAAGGGCCCATGCTCAAGTTGCAGTATGCTTTGCCCCAGGGACAGAACGTAAGAAGAGATTGTTGCATTCAGCCAATGGGGTTAGATAAGGATGACTTATTAGAGCTTTTTCTTCTGTAGAGAAAATGTCCTTTCGCTCGCTCATAGGGTATTGCGAGTCATATAAGGATGTGCCTTTCCTTTTTTATTTCGGTGACTCTTGTTCATGATAGTCAAGCCAGACCTTTTGAGGTCAGTTTTCCTTTTTAGGCGCTCAACACTGCATTATATCCTTTCTTCTATCAGATTAAAATGAGCAGATAACAGCAAAGGTTGCTAGGTTCATAGCAGGGGCAATTAGAATAAGGGACACTAACTGACTGCTGATTCAGGACTTTAAATTGTGCTCTTATATCAAATTTCCTTTTCTGCGTATACTGTAATGTTTTACTGTTGCTATGGCCATTGGCTAATGCGAATAAAGTTTTATCTATCTATTCGGCCAATGACCAATCTCGTCCAGCACCCTCTTCCAACAGGCGGCCCCAGCCAACCATTTGTGGTTCTTGGACACGCCTTCCTGGCTAATGCCTTTTTCTCCTCCAGCTGCTCTTCCTCTGCCAAGAAGACCACCTGCAGCTGGCCCTGAATGGGACCCCCCTTGGCCCTCCATGCATCCCTCACCCCGCCACTGACGCCATCACGGAGCTGGCTGTGGAGGGAGACGTTGTGCTTTACAGCACCCAGATGCGGTCTTCTCTTCCGAGTTGCAGCGCAGCTGCTTTGAAGATCCAAAGATAAGACCTGAGAAAGACAAGCAAACCCACGGACCGTTCCTGGCATGGACTGCTTCAGAAGAAGCACGTGTCTGAATGCTCCCCACGCATAAAAGCTCCCCCAATCAGCCTATAGCATTGCAGAGATGCCGAGTCTCCAATCCATCTCCCTTCTTCTGCTAGCTTTCCATGGGCGAGGAGTTTCTGGTGTCGGGGGAGCCATTTCTTTTCATGGTCTTCTCACACAGACCCACCCACTCACTCGCCATCTGCCTTATGAAGTAGCAGGAAGACCATATTTTCTCTTTCTGCCCTGAATGTTGGCTTCCTTGGAGGAACTGCAGGACTTGAAGCTGTTGTTCTCCCCTTCAGGAGAAAATATATGCTGTGACCATACATCACCCTGCTGTTTTAAATCTCTATAAGCATGAATAAAAGCACATAGTGTATACCGTGATTATTATTTTTTTCATGCCATCCTGGCCTTCAAAGGAATGTAGGAGCAACAGGAATTAAAGAATTACAGAGCTGGAAGGGACCCCAAGGGTCATCTAGTCTGACCCCTGCAATGCAGGAATCTCAAAACACGGTCCCCCCCCCAATCCAATTTGAAACCATACGAGACCCTGCACCAGGCTATTAGTATGTATTTCATTAAATTTATACATGGGCTGATAGTTGCTGCTTTTCAAACATACCCTCAAAACAGTTTACAAATATATAAAACCATAAAATTATCAGTAAGAAAAATCAACAACAATAATTTAAGACTTTCTAAAACCAGCAATAGACTAAAAACAGATCAAAACTCACGTCAACTTTCTAAACATCTGGATAGGGCTTTCCTTGTAACACCACAAGTCATGAACATCGGATGTGGCTGAAGGTTGGAAGATTCAGGACAGATAAATGAAAATTCTTCATTCAGCACATTGTTAAACTGTGGAACTCCCTCCCACAGGAGACAGCAATGGCCACCAACTTGGATGGCTTTAAAAGAGGGCTGGGCAAATTCGCGGAGGAGAGGACGATCAAGTTTAGTGTTGATTTTAATTATTTTTGAATGTTTTAAGTACTGTAGTTTTCACGGATAATTTATGTTGTATTATTTTTGTAAACCATATTGAGATTTTGGGGGGGGGTGTCACAGTCAAATGGTATATAAATTTTATTAAATAAATAAAGTTATTGGGCCATTTCCTCTGATATGAAGGAGGTTTGGGTGGCCTAATTGAGAGAGAAAGAGAAAGAGAAATGGGGGGTTACTTGTCAGATCCAGTTAGCAGCAGGAGGTAGCATCAGGCGCTGTTGTTTCTCCTGATTTTAAGCCGTTTATCTGTAAAAAAGAACAGCCACCATGTGAGAACAAACACGGAAATTTGATAACAGGTTAATAACAGTTTCTAATCTGATCTGGCCAGTTGCAAAAGGTCAGGTTGGAAACAAGAGCTCCCTTGACTCTGGGCGATTGTGGCATTGGGAGGTGGAGATGGGTGTCACCTGATTTTTATTTGATGCACAGCTTCTGCGACAGGCGAACAATGCATCCATTACAAGTCCTCTTCCGGAATTATGCACTCTGGTAGTCAGGGGGCAACGACAACACTTGGAGGTTGCTTCCGCACGACTTAAGAAACTGAATTGTCCAGAAGCTGTGTTTACCTGAGCTCAAATTCTCTCCGTGACAACGGGAACTTTCAGGGCGTGTGGTGCTTTCACAGGTCTGATATTGCCTTTTGGAAAGAGAGGACTATAGTGTTTGGCCAGACTTGTAATGATTTACAGACACGCTTGGTGGAGGTTCAACTAGAACTGTCCCAGAATCCAATGCTCCTGCATGTGATGTCCAGGGAAGATGCTGGGGGCTTTTTCTAGGGTCCTAAAACTCAGAATTGCAGAGTTGGAAGGGAGAAATTGCTCAGCCCTCACCAGTGTATTCAGTGCTATTCTTCTAGAAAAAAGAGGTGCCGGAACTCACCATGAACACCACCCTTGTTCTCTCAGAATAGCAATGGCACACACCTGAGAGGTGCTGGGACTGAGTTCCAGTGAGTTCCCACTGGGGGGAAAAGCCCTGAGTGGATTCTTCCTTTGACACAGAGACTCAGCATCACCAGCAAGGAGCAAGAAGAATTGCTGCTAGCTCAGACCTCATCAGAGTGTGTGCAAAGTTAGGAATTATTATTATTATTATTATTATTATTATTATTATTATTATTTATTATTATTATTAATTTGCCCTATTGTACATCACTTCACGGGACACGGGTGGCGCTGTGGGTTAAACCACAGAGCCTAGGGCTTGCCGATCAGAAGGTTGGCAGTTCGAATCCCCGCGATGGAGTGAGCTCCTGTTGCTCAGTCCCTGCTCCTGCCAACCTAGCAGTTCAAAAGCACGTCAAAGTGCAAGTAGATAAATAGGTACCGCTCCAGTGGAAAGGTAAACAGCGTTTCCATGCGCTGCTCTGGTTCACCAGAAGCGGCTTAGTCATGCTGGCCACATGACCCGGAAGCTGTACTCCGGCTCCCTCGACCAATAAAGCGATATGAGTGCCGCAACCCCCGAGTCGGTCACGACTGGACCTAATGGTCAGGGGTCCCTTTACCTTTACATCACTTCACACTTACTTTGAACCACATCTGGCATTTAATACCCAGTTAAGAGAGAACCTTTTGGAGTTTGTGCTCAGGTCTGCTTGCAGGATTCCCACAGGCATCTGGTCAGCTACTGTGAGACCAGGATGCTGGACAAGATGGGCCATGGGCCTGATCCAGGATGCTCACCTTATGTTCTTATGAGTTCCTTTCATTTTTACTGTCCACAAATGTAGCCACCACACTTGCTCACTTGCTGAATCAACAAATGCCCTGGACAAATATTCCCAGAGTGGTGTAACAGTCAATCCCTCTTTCCAGGGAATTCTGGGAATTGTAGCTCTGTGAAGGAAAGAGGGGAACTCCTAACAATTATCAGCACCCTTAACATACTACAGTTCCCAGGATTTTGGGGGGCGGAGGGGAACCATGACAGTTTAAAGTGTTTTTGTGCTGCTTTAAATGCACAGTGCTGATGGGGTCTCATCACCTAAGCATATCAAGTCAAAATAATTTCTGGGGAAACTCTAAAACAGGGACATGTTTACTTCTGATACCCAAGACATATGTTGTGCACTTTACCTCATGACAGCAGCCAGCACAGCACAAGTCAAGCCATCAATGGGAGTTCTGTACACAGTCCATTTACACACCTGGATCACTTGGGATTGATGCACTTCCAGTCGCAGCCAAGAATGTGTCTCCCTGCGTGCAAAGGACACGCTTCATTTACTCGATTCAAAGAAACGCTGTTGTTCCGGCGTGTTTATAAAAGTTTGCTTAGGCGGGTTGAATTTTGACAGCATAAAAGCCTGCTGTAAGGACGGCTCCGGGTTTAAATTTCAATTCTGTAATGTCTGCAGAGTTACTGGAGACAGACGTTACTTTCGCCCTGTCACCATAGCCTTGGGAAGGGTCAAGCTGCTTGCCCATGGAGCACTTGGAAGAACGCAAGAAGAGCCAGCAGGATCAGGCCCATGGCCTATCTAGTCCAGCATCCTGTTCTCACAGTGGCCAGTCAGATGCCTGTGGGAAACCTGTGAGCAGGAGACAAGAGCCCTCGCCCTCCTGTGATTTCCAGCAGCTGGTATTCAGAAACGTTGCTCCATCCAAATTTGGGGGCAGAGCATAGTACTGTGTCTGTGCCTTCGACAGCCCTCTCCTTCTCCATGAATTTGTTCAATCCTCTTTTAAAGCCATTCAAGTTGGTGGCCATCGCTGCCTCCTGTGGGAGGGAGTTCCATAGTTTAACTAAGTGCTACCTGAAAAAGTCCTGATTATTCTTCCAACATTCAGCTTCACTGATTGTCCACGACTTCCAGAGTTATGAGAGGTGGGGGATTTTTGTAAATCTATCAGCTTTCACTGTGCAATGCATAATTTTATAAACTTCAGTCATGTCACCTCTTACTCGTCTTTTCTATAAATTAAAAAATACCAATTGCTGCAACCTTTCCTCATGGCGGAGTCTCTCCAGCCCCCTTTTCCAATTTTCTGTAAATACATATTGTCTTAATATCGACTAATGTTTCACTGGTGTACGGCACCCAGATATTTTATGATATGGCAGTGCTGACATAGTTTTATAAATAAATAAAGTAAGCAAATACTGTCATCCGCCCTTGGTGGCCAGCCATGCTGGTGTGGGAGGAAATTACTTTGTTTGGTTGAAAAGGAAAAGGAAAAAAGACCTTTACTATAAGCGTGGAATATATTTTCTTCTAAAAAATACTACTAGCCATAAGAGCTATGTTCTGCTAATGCTTATGTTAGGTTCCCAGCAGTTGTTGGACTACAGCTCCCATCATCCCTGACTGTTGGACCTGCTAGCTAGGGATGATGGGAGTTGTAGTCCAACAGCAGCCAGGGACCCAAGTTTGAGAAAATACAGTTGCTGTGCTGTTCCCTAACTGTTAAGAAAGTATCACAATGGTTTGCAAAAAGAGAAAGCCCAATCTGTTCTTGTTAAGAGGAGACAGGGCCAGTCCTCCCAAGAAGCAGACTGAAGCAGTTGCCATGGGTGGCAGATTCCCACAGAGTGGGGCCACCACCATGCCTGCCCCCACAACCCTGCTAAGCCAGGTTTGGCAGAGGGGTGATAGGGGGTTGCCATCTTCCCATTTCACCACCTAAGGTCAAATGGGAAGGTACCACCCTGTGTGCCCTCCCATTGCCACCCACCATTTACCGCGATTTTGGGGAGCTCGAGCGCAAGATCTCATTGGACTCCCATGAGATTTTGTGGGGCTCTCATGAGATCTTGCCAGAACTTGGAATTCACCATGGCTGCTTCTCCTCACTTCTCTAGCAGTGGTGGAATAGGGACATCTCTTGGATTCCCACCACCTGAGGCGATTTTCTCAGTCTGCCTTATGGGCCGGCCAGCTGAGGCTGCCCCTGAGAGGAGAGCATGCAAATTTGCAAGCATTTTTTTTATTATTGAAGGAAATCTAAGACACCTGGCCAACCTGACAAATGCACTCAGGCCACCTTCTGTGATAAGAGTATTTCAGTCACATGAATGGACTTTCCCTGGCAACGCCTTTGCATTCTGATGAGGTTGTGCCAAAAAGACAAAGACACACAGTCACAGACACACACACACACACACACACACACACACACACACACACTGCCCATAGTTCCCTTCTCAGGATGGGCTGAGCTTCTGGCATCTGAGCAACCCATAAAAAAAAAATCTGAATACGTGGCAACCATTGCACCATTGCACCATCTTGCCCTTTCAGCCTGAAACAGAAAACAAAATGGCGCCCTGGCAATGGAGGTGGGCGTGGCCTTTGTCTCCATTTCCCATTGAAGCGCTCTTTCTCCAGGGCGGGGCTTTGCTCCTTATATC